GTGGGTTTCGCCCCCGCGTTCGCGGGCGGTTCAATTCAGAAGTGCGATTTTGGAGGCGATGCTCGAAGTTACCCGTCTCCTCAAACATGTGTTCGTGGTGAGTACATTGTGTACCGCAGGGAGAGATCTCAAGTAGTCTTTGGTTTAGCAGCGGCAGAGCAACAATTCATCGAATCATCGTGTTGTTGCTGGAATTCTGTTTGGAAAACATTTAGGTACTTACTTGTTTGGCTCGTTATCTCTAGCGCTGCCAAGAGAAAACGGCAGAAACAGTGTTTTAGCAAACTACATTAATATTCAGCGACGTTTAGTGTTTAGCAATCCTTGTTTTTTTGAGTGCGAATCGGTTGCAGTGCGCGTATTTTCTGCCCTTCGCTGGTTTGTGTAAGGTTCCAGACTTATCATTGCAAGTTGAGGGTTTTCTGTTTGGTCGGGAGGTTGTTCGGCAAAGCTTCGCCGGCTTGCTTGGTGTGGGAATTGTCAGAGATCGGCTATTCGTGTGTTCAGGAAGTTGTTCGGCACCAATTCGCGAGCTTGCCGCATCGTCCAGACTAGCGTCCAGATGTCCAGGAGACGTTTCAGACATGCAAAAAACATGATGGAAGCATGTGTCATACGGATTCAAAACCAATGGTAGGGCTGCTCGGGTGTCCCGCGTCATGGCGTCAACGGTGTCGGTCCCTTTCTCCGCAGCGTCGGGCCCAAAACGGGCTGGCGCGCCCGCGGGCGGCCGCGCCCGCTGGCGCCGCAGCCGCGGCATGCCCCCCGAGGTTGCGTGTGCCGTCTGCGAGGGCCGGCGTGCCGAGGCCGAAGCGATGCCCCGTCACGGCCACGTCGTGCCCGCCGGTGCCTAAGGCTGGGCCCAGCGGCGGGGTCCACTGTGCGACGCAGGTCGGCGCATGCACCACGCGCTCCGCGCGCGGCCCCACAGGAAGCTCCCTCGAAGGAGGCCCCCCAGTGGGGGCGTCGTCGTGCGGCACCCGCGCCCGTTGCGGCGCACCCTCGCACGTTGCGTGGGCCCATGGGAGCTCCACCGAAGGCCCGGATGGCAGGGTCCACGTGCGTCCTCCGCAGCAATTCCGGCACACCCCATCACACGTTCCGCGGTTCGTTCCGCAGGGTGCTCCGCAAAAGGCCCCAATGGCAGTGCTCACATGCGTCACCCGCGCGCAATTCGGCATACTCCTGACATGTTTCGCGGCCCCAAAGGCCGCTCCACGGAAGGCCCCCCTGGCTGTGCTCACGTGCGTCCCTCCCCCGCGCGAGTTTCTCACACGCTTCGTGGCACCAGGGCCCGCCGCGAGCTCCGCCAAAGGCCCCAGTGGCAGTGCTCACATGCGTCTCCCGCACCGATTTCACCTCGCACACGTTTCGTGGCCCCCATCGGAAGCGCCACCGAAAGCCCCAGTGGGAGGGTCCACATGCGCCCTCCGCCCATTTTGGCGCACCGTTGTCCTATAGGGAGCTCCACCGAAGGCCCCAGTGGTAGGGTCCATAGGCGTCCCCGCACACGTCTCGGCTCACCCCTCACACGTTGGGCGGCCCCATCAGGGAGCTCCATCGAAGATGATACTCACAATTGCGTTACCACAGCTGCATATGCTCGGGTCCTTCGCCAGGATAGTTTCATCTGGCACATCGCTTGTACTCTTACCCTCGCATTTGCGGTCCCACTCGATCCCACTGTCAGCTGCTGCTCACACTCTCCGTCTCCAAGCTCTCAGCCTATCATGAGCAACCTTGTGCTTGTCGTGTTGCCTTTTGTTGCTCCGCATGTGCGGGCAATGTGAAAGAAGAGTTCTGCGGTCGCGCGCGTCGGCCATGTTTGGTTATCTCTTTTTTATCCTTCCCGTCGCTTCCTCACTTTCCTTTTCTCTCCACCTCCCTCTCATGTTGAAGCCGGCTGGGGGGCTGAAGTTGCCCAGTATCGATCCTGGCCGACAGAAATGGGGGAGAAAGGGCCCCCTCGTCGCCATGGCAGTGTCACCGCATCGTCCTCACGACTGTAGGCTGCTCGCTTCCTCGAAGCAACTGTGCTGCGCACAGGACTGGCGCTTAGAGTGTGTACCGCTCATTTGTTGCGTGCTCATCGTGCGGAGTAACATTGGTGGCACCATCGGCCGTCGGAACACCATCAATGCAAAACCGGTACAATAGAGAGACTTCCCAACCCATTTTGTGGTGTTGGGTCTTGTTTTTGAATCAGCTGCGCCCCGTGTTCACTCCTCCTGCCCCCTCCCTCTCCTCCCGCTCCTCCGCATGTCCTCATCGTTTTCAACCCTCACACGTTTCGTGGCTCCATTGGGAGCTCGACCGAAGGCCGCTGTGGCCGGCATCACGTGCGCACCCCCGCCCATTTTGGCACACCCCTCACGCGCTTCGTGGGCCCATCAGAAGCTCCACCGAAGGCAGCAGTAGCAGGAATCACATGCGCCTCCCTGCCAATTTTGGCACATCCCTCACAAGCTTCGTGGCCCCCATCGGAAGCGCTACCGAAGGCCGCGGTGGCAGGAATCGCGCCCCGACAATTTTTGCACATCACGCACGATTTGTGGCCCCATACGGAGCTCAACCGAAGGCCGCAGTGGCTGAAATAACGTGCGTACTCCACCCATTTTGGCACACCGCTCAAACGTTTTGTGGCCCCAGCGGGAGTTCCACCGACGGCCGCAGTGTCAGGAATCACATGCGCGTCCCCGGCCCATTTTGGCACCCCTCGCACGTATTGCGGCCGGCCCCACATGCGGTCTACCGAGGGCCGGAGTGGCAGGAATCACATGCGCCCCCCCGCCCGTTCTGGCACACCGATCTCACGATTCGTGACCCCATACGGAGCTCCACCGAATGCCCCAGTGGCAGGAATCACATGCGTCCCAAGGCCCATTTTGGCATACTGCTCACACGCTTCGCAGCCCCGTAGGGAGCTCCACCGAATGCCGCAGTGGCTGAAATCACATGCGCGTCCCCGCCATGTCGCCCCCTCGCCCCCATCCTTCTTCTCGCCTGCCTCGCGATGCTCGCAGCTGCATATGGTTGGGTCCTTCGCCAGGCTAATTTCCCGAATCGTTCCCTGCCAAGTGAGATTTAGATACAATGCCCCGCTCGCCCACCCACTTCAACGTACCGCCCGCCCGACTCGCCCGCCGGCTTGAATGTTCCGCCTGCGTCGTCGCCGGTTTCGTCGATCGTCATGGTGGTGGTGGTCGTCGTGGTCTTCTTAGCCGTCGTCGTCGTCTTCGTCGTCGCCGTCGTCGTCGTCGTCGTCGTGGACGTCGTCGTGGGCGTCGTCGTCGTCGTTACCGTCGTCGTGGACGTCGTCTTCGTTGTCGTCGCCGTCGTCGTGCTCGTTGTCGTCGTCGTCCCAGCGGCGGGGGAAGTGGCGGCGACGTGCCTGTTTGCGGCGCCAAAGGGCTGTGGGGGGATCGTAACGTAACTGCACGTGGGGGGTGTCGTCACCCCCTCGGGAAGGGGTGTGTGGGCGGGGCGAGGTAAGTCGTAGGTTTCGGGGAGGGGAAGGGGGGCTTTGTTTTTATCGGGTGAGTGGGGAGAGCAAGGGGCAGCTAGGCGATCTATATGCTTAGCCGCTTTGTTTTCAAGCCGTGTGCCAGTGACATGCGCTGTTCCGGAGGAAGCCAGATGGGCATGAGGAGAAGGAGAAGTGCGGCTTGCCAGCATGAACATACAAACCGGGCGCGCGAAGCAGTATCATTCAAACAGCTTGGGTTCCTTTGCAGTAGTCCCCATTTTCTTCCTCCTCCCCCTCCTCCTCCTCCTCCTCCTCCTTCTGCCGCTGCTGCCGCCGTCTCCTCTCCTTTGTGTCGCCCGCGCGCGGCGCCTGTATCGGACGGGGCCAGGACGAGGATACATCCGTTCAGAGCGCTTGGGAACGCTCCCAGAGCGTTCCGGAACGCTCTGAGAAGGCCGCGACGCCCGATACATCCTCCAGAGTCGCCGGATTTGAGAGATTCGTGATTTTATCCTCACCCGATCTTGTCCTCGTCCTGGCTTTGTCTCACTCCAGTCTGGGCTCAGGCTCAGGCGCAGGTCCGTGCACCGCACCGTTCGACGCACGGAACGCTCGCCCAGGTCCGCGCCCCTCAGGCGGCACGTCCCGCGGCTCTTGCCCGTGGACGGGCCGCCCGCCCCAGCAGCGGGTTGGCGGCGACGCGGCGACACCTCGGTGGGCCCCGCAAGTGGGCGGCCACGAGGCGGCCACGAGGCGGCGACGCGGCGACACCTCGGTGGGCCCCGCAAAGTGGGCGGCCACGAGGCGGCCACGAGGCGGCGACGCGGCGAAGCCTCGGCGGACCCTCCAAGCAGGCGGCAACGAGGCGGCCACGAGGCGGCCACGAGGCGGCCACGAGGCGGCGACGCGGGGAGACCTCGGCGGATCCCCAAAGTCGGCGGCAACGAGGCTGCCACCAGGCGGCCACGAGGCGGCGACGCGGCGAAGCTGTCCGCCGAGGCGGCAACGGGGCGGCCACGAGGCGGCCACGGGCGGCGAGACAGCGAAACCTCGACGGATCCTTCCGATTCCTCAGTGGCAGAAAGGGGGGACCCCTACGCGTAGTCATTTTCGGGGGGGGGAGGACTGAGGTCCTGGACTGTGTTCGTGGTTTTCGGACTCACAGGGCCCGGGAAGAGCCCCTGGACCGTCAAACATTGTTCAGAATGAAACCCGTTTCTTTCAGGATCCATGTGTTGAGGGCCCAGACGATGGGAGCGACAGCTCCCATCGTGATCTCTTTTGCGCCGTCGTTCCGAGGCAAAGGAATCCTTTCTCCTTCCATCTGTCCTCCGTACTAGTCCTGTCTCGTGTTCGACGTCGCCGCGATGATGTTCCTTTTAGTTCCATATTCTTTGCCTCTCTACACCAGCCTTTCATTCGCATCCGACCAGGGCCGTGTCCTTCCTAGCTTGGTTAGTTGCTCGTGCTTATTGCCCACTCTCGGTGCATTCCCCTCGCAGGCTTCAGCGGTGGTGAGCGGAAGAGGAACGAGATGCTACAGATGTCGGTCCGCATGATTTTGTCGTGTGCCCCTATCATGGGTAGTCTGATGGTTGGGACCCCCCTTTGCACCAGACTTTTAGGAGTCGCAAGGACATTTCTTTGGCCCAGCACTCGTGTTGCTTTGTCTCCCTCCAGAAGCACACGTATCGTGAGATGCGTGGCGAGGGATTTCTCAATCGAGCTCGTTGTGCACCGTCAGTGGCAAGCTACATCTGAAAGCCAGAGGGGCGCGCGGCAAGACATTGTTGATCGAGTTTCCATTTCCCTTGATCCTTGCAGGACGGGGCTATTCGGTTTACAAGGCTACAGGCTTGTGTTGCCATGTGTGTTTCGGGCGTCTTCCCTCCCCACCCCACACACCAGTCGCGTTGCCCAGCCTGGTGGTCCACTGCTCCGCTGCCGCGCTTCCTGCTGGAGCGCTGTCTGGGTCATCCCTAGCAGGGTGGTCTGTGCTCGGAGCCAGGAATCTGTCCACTATAGTGCGTTGTGTTTGTCCACAACTTAGTGGCGCATGGCGGCCCAAACGCAGTGTACATCTTTTGGTTCAGCACCTATCGCCCGGAGAGCCAGCCAGAAAATTCTACTTTATGTGTTGTCCTGTGGCGTTCTTGCGACGCCCCATGGGACAGGGCCAAGATACCTTAGTATACATATCTATGTGTGTGTATATACATACCGCCCCCCCGGCCCCGGGTGCCACACCTCCCCGTGACATCTCGGGAACGCTCCCGGTACCGCTCCCCCGGGCGGCCCGGGGAACTTCTACAGCGCTCCAGGAGGGCCCAAGACGTCTCCAAGGAGCCCCCAAAATGCGAAAGGATGGTTCAAGACGCTCCCAAGCTGCCCAAGTCAGCCTTCCGACGGCTCTCGAGGCTCCCAGGTAACTTCCAAGAGACCCTAAGAGAGGTCCGAGCGGCGTCCGGGGAGGGCCCGAAGAGGCTAACATCGTCGATGTCATTGGTTTTGATGAATGTTTTTGGCTTCTCGCGTGTTCGAGCTTCCAACGGTCCAAGAGCGCCGAAGAGGCGCCAAGACGGGCCAAGAAGGCTCCAAGACTGCCGAAGAGGCGCCCAGGACAGCCCTAGACCACCCCAGAACAGGCCCAAGATGGGCCCAAGAGCGGGAGTAGGAGGCTTCCAGAGACCTCCGAGAGGCCTCCGGGACCACCCAGAGGCCCCCAACACACTCCCGATCCCTGAGAGGCCCCAAAAAGACCCCGACGCCGCTCCAAGAACAGCCCAAGAGAGCTGCGAGAGCCGTCCCGAGAGAGCCCAAAGAGGGTAACATCGTTGATTTCCCGTGTTTTTTTCTAATGTTTTCGCCTTCTCACGTTTTCCCGCTTCCAACCCTCGAAGATGAGGATTTTGAACAACAGAGAGGAAATTCCCAGAATTCCGTTTTTTTTCTCAGTGGAACTCCTACTCGGGAGTCCTACACATCCCCTGACATCTGGCCGTTACTGCGCCTCCCGGCTTCCAGGGTGGAGACCCCAAGACGCCTACGGACAGCCCAAGACGACCCCAAGGAGCCCCCAGAACGCAAAGAACGGCCCCAACATGCTCCCGCGCAGCCCGAGACACCCTTCCGACGGCTCTCCAGGCCTCCAGGAGGCCTCCAGAACCCCCAGGGGGTCCGGAAGATCCCACACCTCTGAGCGGCCCGGGCTAACAAAACCCGCGAGGCACAAACAAAAAATAGCGTTGAATAGCGCCGACAAACTGGAGAACCCGGAAATTCCACAATTCCTGTCTAGTTCTCCCCAAGTTTGGCCCCCGGTCTACTCTTGCACAGCTGATCAAATCCAGACCCCCTTCACCTGCCAAAAATGAGCCCAGGAAGCCTTTGAGGGCCCCAAATCGTTGAAAACCTACAGAAAATTAATGATTTCTGCGTTTCCGCACTTCCCCTTCTATACGATTCTGAGGCTTGCGCAGGGCCTCCGAGGGAGTCCCTGGACGTAAGAAGCGACCACAATGAGATTACATGAGTTAGCCGATCAAGCCTAGCTAGAACTTGAGCGCGCACGAAGCGCGCGCGATGGTACATGGTATTAGTACACATATATACATATATATATATATACACATACACATACACATATACATATATACATATGCGGCTCCCATGTGTGTTCTTGGATGCACCCTGCCCCTTGGAAGGCGCGGGCCTTGTCTTTTGATGTGAGGCTGGCGCCTTCTAAGAAGCAGCCTCTTTCTGAGAAGCCTTCCCTCCTTCCCCTACCCTCTTGTCCTACCCTTTTATGCGCGCCGCCAGGCTTTCCCTGAGATCCGACATTTCGAATAATTGAAACATCATGGGAAGTCATGACTGGAGCCCCAGACCCCATCCCTCTGCGTCATTTTCGAGCCAGATCGATCTGTGAGGGTCCCAGGGCCTGAAACTGGGCGAGAACGCCAGTTGTGAACAAATCGCAGCGCCAGGATCTCTCAGGGTCCTGGCTCCCTGCCCGCGCTCGAGGGCGGGGGAGATCCGCTGGCGCTCGGAGGCGCTGCAGCCCTGGAGTGTCCTGGGGTTGCCCGGGCCCGTCCTCGCAACGCGTGTGGCCCTTTTGTTGGAGCCTCTCCCCGAGGCCTCGGGAGAATCCCGGAGGCCCCGAGCAGACCTCCAGGGACTCCATCGGGGGCCCCCGAACTCAGAGGAGGAAAAGGTATTCCATATTTCGTCGCAAATGTTCAGGCCTCTCAGATGGGGTCCGAGTAGATGAGTTCATGGGATCGCGCCGCATCGCAGATGCATCGGCGATGCGGCTCGATGTGGGGCCCGATCTTCTCCACGCCCACGTCGCAGCACGATCCTCTGACCCCATCTACGCAGTACTCCGACCCCATCGCGGAGGTCTCTAAAAAGGGATGGTGGCGCGCGCGGGCATACGTGGGACTGCCCAAAGCGAAGAGTTCATTCGATCGGCAGGCACCTCCCCTCCTCCCCCCCATCGTATACACCGGGCGATCGCCGGAGTGTGTGTGTGTGTGTAAAAAGAGTATATACTGCGGGTGCGGGCGTGCAGGGCCCAAGACCTCTGGCGGTCTCTGGAGGCATGGGGCGGGTGAGGCCGTGCAGGGCCGAACGGTTCACGCCGCGGCAGAGACCAGGGCCCACGCCGTCATGGCAGAACTTTGGCGTACCTGTTCTTGTAGTGAGGGAATTGACAATGACATAAACATAGAAACCTCGGAGGTCCGCGCGGACTTCTCGGATCCGCGCTGGACCCCCCTGGCGGCGCTTCTGGCGCCGCCCTTGGCGCGCTCCGAGCGCCAGGGAAGGGGGTCCGGCGCCGATCCGAGAAATCAGCGCGGACCTCCGAGTTTTTATGTTCACGTAAGTGTTCGTTTCCCTGCCCTGGGCTTCTTAATAAGCGTGGAGGGGTACCCCTCCCGACGGGTGTCAACCTCGCCTCGTCGTCGCGCCGCGACGGGGGTCGGAGCGACTTCGGCGCGCGGTGTTTGCCCGCGACGGGGCTCGATGTGGCAGCGGGAAGCCCCCCCGACGCGTCTTAAGAAACTCGGCGTATGCTGTTCCAGTGCTTTGCGCTGCTCTTCGGGGCCCTCCTCCTTCTCCTCCTCCTACTCCTACTCCTACTCCTGCTCCTACCTCTTCTCCCCCTCCTCCCCCTCCCCCCTCCCCATCCTCCTCGTCCTCCTCCTCCTCCTCCTCCTCCTTCTTGTCCTCCTCATCCTCCTCCCTCATCTGTCCGTCCGTTTGTATTGCTTCCAGTAGAAAGGGTACTCGCGCGAGTCCTGTGCGGAGGCACTGTGCGTGGGGGCCCTGCTCGCCTCGCGCGGGGCTCTCTCGTGCCTGCCACTGGGCTCGGACCCTGGCCAAGCAGCGCGCGCTGCTCTGCGCAGGGCCCCCACGAGTGCGCGCTCGGGCGCTGGCACTCTTCGCCCCGGCACCCTCTTCTGATGAGCATCGTCTGTTTGCATGTGTGCTCATACAGGTACATCTATATATAACGTCTACACATATATAATGTATATATATATATATTCGGATACGCAAATCAATATATATATATATATATATATATATATATATTCAGATACGCAAACCAATAGATATATACACAAAGCAACCAAGAAACAAACACATGAATATACACAGACGCAGAGACCCCACTCTCTCTCTCTCTCTCTCTCTTCCTTGGCCCTCCCGCCCCTCTGCCTCCGCTCCTCGGCCTGCGCCCCGCCCCCCCCCCCTTTTGCCCCCGCTCCTCGCGCCGCCGCCTCCCCCCCCCGTCCGCGCGGAGGTCCTCAGCCCCAAGCTCGCGATACTGGACGAGATAGACTCCGGGCTCGACATCGATGCGTTGCGAGACGCCCCCCGCCTCGGCAGCGGGGATGGGCTCATCCGCCTCCTCATCCTCCTCCTCATCCTCCTCCTCCTCCTCCTCCTCCTCATCATCATCATCATCATCATCATCATCAGCATCATCATCATCATCATCATCATCATCATCATCATCATCATCATCATCATCATCATCATCATCATCATCATCATCATCATCATCATCATCATCATCATCATCATCATCATCATCATCATCATCATCATCATCATCATCCATCCTTCTCCCCCTCCCTCCTCCTCCTCCTCCTACTCCTCCTCCTCCTAC